GAGGGCACAGGAGCAAAACACAAAGCAATTTGGAAAACTGCAGAGAGTGAGTACGGTGGGCAAACATATTATTACGCACAGCTCATCCCTTTTACCCTCACCATGTACTCTTTTCCGTTGTCTGAATAAAGAGCTCATGTCATCTACTGCAGGTGTCATCAAACTACAGCCCACAGGCTGGCCATCTGTTTTTGTAATTAGTTGTAATTGGAACACAGGCACACACATCCTTTTACTTATTATTTATGGCTGTTTGTACTCTACAAAAGCAAAAATGAATAGTTGTAACAAAGGCTGGATGGCCCACAAAGCCTGAACTATTTACTATCTAGCTCTTTCAGAAAATTTTCTGACCCCTGACTATTGCATCGCTGCAGGGTAACCTCAGTTCTGTCATACTCCCGTAAGAAACCTGAAATCTTAGCTACCATCAGCGCTCTTCATAGAAGAAAGCTGGAGGAGAGAGCGGGTGGAAGATACAGTTAATCGACATAGAGCGTAGGTGCTTCAATCCCACTTCTATAGCTGGTCATGAGATCTGAGTTGCTAATCATTTCAAATTCTTCTTACTTTCTGCCAGCGCTTTAGCTGGATGAATTTCTTTACCTGGAAGATTGACACAAATCTTCATTCCCGAAGGATCTGGTTCCTTAGTGGCCCTGTTTTTATTGGTTGCTGCAGTTTGCCACTTGATGAGGGCTATTGATAGATGCCTCAATAAACCCCCTTAGCTCTAGGCATAGTTCTCCTTATAACTATTTTGTATGAACAATTCAATTTCCTCTTGATAATCACTTGAGCAAGCACAGGTAGCCCCTTCTTTACCTGTAGGTTCAGAGTTGTGAGGAACCCCAAAGGTTTAAGAGACATTTTCAGCTTCCAACGTGATAACACCGTAACTGTTTCCTGTGAAGCATCCTCCCTTGGGCACTAGAACCATTAGGTTCCTTGAATTCAAGTTTGTGAAGATATATAGGAAGAACTACTTAAGTGGGCTCTTAAGTATAATGAGAAGGGCATTTCCACGCTTCACACCTTGGTCTCTGAACCCACGTGTTTTGCCTATGAGGATGACGGTACCATATTTTGGCTGCTGGTTTAAAAGCATATACTAACTACATCACGTAAGATATCTCCCAGCCTCACTAGGTATTGTCGATCAGCAAATTCTGTAACTGAGCTTTGAGGAAGCCATCCCATTGTTCCAGCAAAGCAGCCATTTAGGGATAATGAGACATGAGATAAGACCAATAAGTTCCAAAGCATAAACTCATAGATGTGTTTTGTGTGTGTGTGTTTTTGTGTTTTTTTTTCACTGTAAATTGAGTTTCTTGATCAGGGGATATTATTTCTTGAGAGGATGTTTTATGTAAGGTATTCTTTGAGTCTAAGTATAGTGGTACATTTATATGATAGAGAGAACAGTTTCTTTACTTTCTTACCTAAGAGATATCATCATCTGTCAGGCTCTTCATTATAATGTACTCCAGAGGGAGCTTGATTGTCTTTACATATGGAATAGCATGCTGATTCATCATATTGATAGCATTTTGCTATTCCAGATGTGCTATCTTTACTAGAGCAAAGCAATAAAGTCCCTAGTACCTGGTACCTAGATATTAACTGGGAAAATGCTTTCTTTTTAATTCCAGTCAGCAAAGATAATCAAAAGCAAGAGTGTCTGCTGTAGAGAGCACAGGAAATCTTGAAACAACATGTATCTTTAAATGACCAACTTTTCACAGTCTGGGAAACCTATAAGAAAAATCCCTCTTGATTTCTGGCTACCTGATATTTTTTCCAGGGATTAGAGGCACTAAAATTGGAAGATCATTTTTGTCCATTTAGTCAAACAAACTAAGCATCTATTACTTTGGCAAGTGCTGATAGTGCTCCTCAAATATGTGAGCAACACAAAACTAAAATTCTATTTTAAGAACTTACTTTCTAAGATAACTCTTGATTCCAATTACTATATTAATTAAGGTCCCAGTAGGAAACAAATGGAACACTGAAACTGTGACTATGACATTGAGGAAAGATTAATAAAAGGACTACGTATTTATAAAGGTGTGGTCAGGATTAAGGGAAAGTAACAAGGAATGGTGAAGCTAGCAACAGCTGGGAGACTTGATTCTCATAGGCCTGAAGGGGTAAAGGGAAGGAATGATTCCTGTAGCTCTATCTGTAGGAGAAGCCGCCTGACTGGAGCTGTAGCCAGCCGTAAGTAGAGGAATGTAGCCGCTCTCATTTCGTAACCTAGCAGGAAAGAGCCAGGGGAATAACTCTATCAAATCTCACTTTTCTCCCCCCATTCCATTTCCTACTGATACCTTCCTGTGGCCAAACCCAACCAAAATCCACAGGGCAAGAAGTCCATTGAAGCAGTTCTTTAAGATTTGCCTTTTGGGGCAGAGAGCAGAGTGAAGAAGGGCAAAGAGAAAATATACAGGGACAGATGTAGAACATCCAGAACAATATCTTACAGGTAGAATTGGCAACATTTTTTCTTTTTTAGTGGAATGTAAAATAATGCTGCTTCTTACAATCAATGGCATCCTAGAGTAAAATAATTCCAGCATGTGCCAGATGCCAAAGCTCTCAAGAACTTTAGAACTTGAGGGGACATTGGATATCACTTAATTCAAGCCTTTCATTTTACAGATGAGGAAACTAAAGCTCAGAGAGAGGAAATATCTTGCTTAAAATCCACAGCAAGTAACAGAACTAGGAGTAGAATAGAATCTAGGCCTCTGAGCCATCGAACCCAGTGTTCTTTATCATAAATCATCTTATTTCAAAGCTCAATTTTTAAAAATTAAATGTATTGGGGTAACATTGGTTAATATGATCATATAGGTTTCAGGTGTGGGTTTCTATGTTACAAGATCTGTATATTGCACTGTGTGCCTACTACCCAAAGTCAAATCATCTTTCATCACCATATATTATGCTCCACTTAACCCCCACCCCCCTATTCCCTTCCCTCTGGCAACCACCATACTGCTGTTTGTGTTCATGAGATTCAGTTTTATATCCCACATATGAATGAAATCATATGGTCCTTAGTGTTTTCTGCCTGACTTATTTCACTTAGCATAATATTCTCAAGGCCCATCCATGTTGATTTTTGTATTCCTGATTCAGGTCTCACATTTTTCACTGGCTTAAGTCAAGTAGGTATCCAAACGATTTTCTCTATAACTGATTATCATCAGCAACACAAGTGCTGAATATAGACAAAAAAGAAGAGACTTCCCTAGCCAGTTAGAGTGTTGGCCCACGTACTGAAGGGTCCCGGGTTCAATTACGGCCAAGGGTATTACCTTGGTTGCAGGCTCAATCCCTGAGCCTGGTCGGGGTGTGTGCAGGAGGCAACCAATCGATGTGTCTCTTTCACATCAATGTTTCTCTATCTCTCTCTCTCCCCCTTCCACTCTCTCTGAAAAGCAATGGGAAAAATATCCTCTGGTGAGGATTAAAAAAAAAAAAAAGGAAGAGACCTCATCTAGAAAGTGTCTGATTAATTCAATGTAATAAAGCTTTTAGGGGCTCTATTTCCTCAGAGGTACAGGAGACTATATCTAGGTTTAGTTGGTCCTCTTTGGATTCAGGTTGGAAGACTCATCTAGAGTAAAAAATATCCAGGTCTTCATTGCACGTACGCTGAAACAAGGTCAGACTGCATGCCCAGGGAACGTCTTAAGGATACTTATAGGAGAACACAAGAAAAAAAAGGATGTTAGTCATCAAGCACGTGTTTATGTGAAGAATTCAAAATTGAGGGAAAAAAGTGCTCAAAGAAGAGACTAGTTGATGGAAATAAAATAATAAAATAAAACAATAAAATAAAAGAAAATAAAAGAAAAAAGAAAAAAAATGAAGTGGTAAATGGGGTGCCTTAGGCCAATAGTCACATTAACTGAAACTAACAGGCAATGGTTTTCTTTTTTTCTTTTTAATGAATCTTTATTGATTTCAGAGAAAGGAAGGGAGAGGGAGAGAGAGAGATAGAAGCATCAATGATGAGAGAGTCATTGATCGGCTGCCTCCTGCTTGCCCCTGACTGAGATCGAGCCCGCAACCAGGGCATGTGCCCTGACCGGGAATCGAACCGCAATCTCCTGGATCCCAGGTCGATGCTCCACCGCCGAGCCACACCAGCCGGGCACAGGCAATAGTCTTCAGTATCAAGTATCTTAAGTCTCAAAGCCCATTCTGATATTCTCTACACCAACACTTCTTAAAGTTTATTGCACTTGCAAATCAACTAACAATTTTGTTATAATAAATACTCAGATTCAGTGCGTTCAGGTTTGGCCCAACGTTCTTTATTTTCTACAAGCTCCCAGGTGATGCTAATACTGCTGGTTCATGAATCACACTTTGAGAAACAAGTCTTCAGTCCATGACAAGCACAGAATTTCTATCTGGGGTGCAGTTTGGTGAAGTATAAAGAGCATGGGTTTGGGGATCTGAATTGGGGAACCCAATGTGGAGTGAGGCTGTATTACATACTAGCTACATAAATTTGGGCAAGTTACTTAACCTCGCTGAGACTCATGTCTTTTTTGTGCTTTGTCTTTTTTAAACTCAGCTAATAAATTACATCACAATTTGTAAAGCCCCTGATGCATACATAGTAGGTGCTCAATAAATGTCACTTTTGGTCCTTTCCCCTGTCACTACTCATGATTTATTGAGGGGAGGGCAAAGAGAGTGATGGTGTCAGGGTTCAGATTTACAGGAAGATAAGTGACTAAAAACCAAAATGAGGTCATATTCAATAGCTGAGCATCAAAAAGAGTTGCTCAACATCACCCTTGCCTTAGAAACAGAAACCAGACACTCATCTAATCTGTTTCAATTCAGAAAATATGCTTTTCTCCAAAGACAAATATGTATGAAAAGAGGAGAAATAGGTAACATACAATCAATCTTTAAAGATACACAACTCATCTTCAAATATTTGGAAATAACTTATAATAAAACACATTAGAGATGTTAGGAAAAGGAATTTAATGAAAAAGACATTACACTGTGCAGCAAGTACAGTGTGACATAAAGCTTTGGTCTGGGATATATATTTCATACAGAAGCTTAGGAGTAGGCATGGTAAGTGTTTAAGTATTGCTACTACTTTTGCACTAAACATGGTAAGACAAGTAAATAGGAACAGTCCTTTGTATCCAACAATAAAACCAAGAAAACTAGCAGCATGAGTGCAGACCTTCCATCATCTCCAGAGAAGTTTAAAAATGTTGTTACTGTTTCTGAGAGTTCTTTCATCCCTTTATCTCTCTTTACTTAAAAACAAAGATACTACATCATATACTTAAAAATTTGTTAAGAGGGTAAATCTCATGTTAATTGCTCTTATCACAACAACAAAATAAAGAGAGCTATCAAGTCACAAAAAGACATGGAAAACACTTAAATGCATGTTAATAAGTGAAAAAAGCAAGTAGGAAAAGTACATACTGTGTGATTCCAACAATATGACATTCTGAGAAAAGTCAAAACTATAGAGACAGCCAAAAGGTGAATGGTTGCCAAGGGTTCAAACACAAGAGATTTTTAGGGCCGTGAAATTACTCTGTATGATAATATACTTGTGGATACATCATATTATGCATTATCCGCAGTACTTTCTGCTCAATTTGTCCATAAACCTAACGCTACTCTAAGAAATAAAGTGGGGCAGGGGTGTGTGGGTGTGGGGTAGAAGGGGTCAATGGGGAAAAAGGGGGGGACAGCTGTAATACTTTCAACAATAAAGATATGTTTTTTTAAAATAAAAAATATATAAAACCAATGAAACACAGAAACCACCTTCTTATCAGAAAAGGAGTTTAGAAGAATAAATTGGCATCCGAGACAGGTAGGTACCAGGAACAAAGCAGAAATGAACATACTCATGTGTAAGTGACCCAGCCTTTGACAGAGTTTGGAAAATTACTCCTGTTATTTCTTCCCAGGAGAGCCCCATTCTAATGTTCCAGGGAATTAGTGATTCTTAACTGTTCTTAGGATATTGAAAGAGTGTTTTCCTTCTCTAGCCCGCTCCACCCTTGGACTCATCTTCAGGCCCAGAACAAAAGCAGCCTGCCCATGACAACTACTCTCAATCCAGGAATGGAGACTGAGTGCATTCAGAGTTGGGCCAATTTTTATTCTGATGATGTGATGCTCCTCACATGTTCTTGAAATATTTATATGTACAACATTTATTCTGAGGAACACCTTCCTGGTAGAAGGGATACAAAGGAAATCCCCAATGGAGACAAACCACTTTTTTCCTATGTACTTAACAGTTCACGCTTGGCCCAAATTGTATACCCCATTCAACAAAACAACAGGCCTGCCTCTAACCAGACCTGTATTTTTCAGAATTTATTAATTGCGAATTGCTCTTTAGGCATGGGGTTTCCTCCTCACTTATCTACTCAAGCAGACATTATTTCTTCCTGCTAATATTAGACTCTTCTTGAGAGGAGTTCTCCACCTCATTACCTTCTCAGGAATGCTTAGTACCCCTTATAATTTGGCGCCTGGGGAAGGGCCAGGGCAGCCCCCCCTAACCCCAACCAGAACCTGGCTCTGTGCATTCAGATGCTTTGTAAGCAAATAACTTTAACAGAGCTGACTTCGAAGGTGACAGAAAAGAGGTAAAAATTGGTAATATTTCCATTAATCCATGTGGAAAAAACATTAAGGGCATTCCCCCATGGTTCTGGTGTGCACCCCACCTGTCAGGAATTAAGGAGGACAAATTAATTGAAATTGGCGAAGAAGGTCAAAAGCAAGAAGATTCAAGAGAATCTTCATTTCTCTTTCTTCACATCATCTGAAAACTAATAATCTCTCTTCAAAAATGTCCATTTATGAATAATGAATACTAGGAAAGGACTAAAAATAAAATATATTCCCAACCACCAATCACTCTAACTGTAGTTCAACCATAAACAATTGACAACTGTTTTGTAATGGAATGGATACTTTCCTTGTTTCCAAATGAGAACGATTTAAAAACAAGTTTTATTGTAAATACTCATCAATTCCCATGGATTTGCACAAAGAAGTTTCAACTTTCTGAAAAAATAAACCGTTGGCTAAGCAGAAAAAAAAATCTTGAAAGGCTCGATCATATTCTTTCCCCAAAGTAAATAGATTTAACAATAAAGGGATAAAAGTAAAATAATTGGATTCAAACACATACCTAGTTTTGGTCTATCCATCTTTCAGGAGACTTTATTTTTTTTCCTCAGCAAATGCCAATGATTTAAACTTTTGCTTTAACTATTATAATGAAATATTTTGTTTGCTTGTTGTATTAATTTCTGCCTCATTCAGAGGGGGGAAAAAAAAGCTAAATAAAGAAAAATCTCTTCTTGTACAGAAAAAGTGGAGAGAAAAGTAGGTTTTCCTACTCTATATGAGTGTTTTGTTATTTATAGGCAATACTAGCTATATATTCTACTCCCCTTTTCCAAATATGAAAGGAACCCTCTACCAGAATATTTTGATGGATTCTACTGAGGTAAGTTAAATACAACTGATAGTCTCTGAAACACTATGCACTCCTCATAGTGACAACAGTAGTTTGTATTTCTGTGGAATCTGTTTTGACAGATTGCTAAATTTCCTTCTGTAGATAAAAAGGCATGATTCTGAACAACACCCCTGTAAAGAAGGCAGAGTGATCTCCCAGACATGATCTCCCAGACATAGGTCATAGAAAGAGATGGACATCACATTGGAAGAGGGTGTTAAGGGGAGAGGGAGAAAGATGGTTTGCTTGCAGATTACACAACTTGTTAACAAAAACTGACCACACTATTTTTTTCCATAAAATTAATTACTTTTTGTAATATTTATTATCTAATCAGATGAAGTAGGAAATTCCTACTTCAAATAAATAAATGACCTACACCTTGAAAACAAATAAATGACTAACACCCACAGTGAGTAACAGCACAAAATAATTTTTTGGGGGTATTTTTGCTGTACACTTGAGACCAATTCATTGTATATAGAACACTTAACATCTAACCAAACATCCAGGAAAAGAGAGACTTAAGAGAGTAATCACAGAGTGCTATAACTAGCTCATCAGTAATGACCATTTTTTCCATAGTGGCTTAAAATTTACAGAGCATATTTACATATATTACCTCATTTGGTATCTTCAATTACTTCAAGGCAGCCTGATTATTCATGTTTTACATGCAAATAGCTGAAGGCCTAGGTCAGATAATTAACTTGACTGAGGTCACACGGTTGGTAAATAGTCAAGACTTGAACTGATGTCATCTGAGTCCAAGGTTAAGCTTTCTTCCACCTCATCATGGTTGCCTTGCCATTAATAATGTCCAGGTCAGTCAAACCCAATCTGCCATAATGATGTAGAGTTGGTCCAAATAATATAGTAAAGATAATTTGTCCTCTAATGCGGTGTTTCTCAAACTGTGATCCACTTGTATTAAAATCATCCGAGATGCTTGATAAAAATGATGGAGATTCCTGAAGATTTTATTTAGTAGGTTTGGATCCTTTGGAATTCTTGTTGTGGCCCAGTTTCCATTACTACGGTTTAAATCTTGCAGATCCAATTTTTGTTACAGTTTTGCCCATGCAGACTTCCTCCCCCTATTTCTTTTCTTTAATTTCAGAGCACATAAATGACACCATTGTAGGAGGAAAACCCTTCTGCCAACTTCTAAAGGCAATGTTCAGTTTAATGGGAAATATCTACATAGAAGAAAAAACAACATTGATCACAACCCAAAATGCTGTAGGCTTTCACGTTGAGATGCTTCTGGGACTTGATATTTCAATCCACTTTGGTTCTAAAAGTGAGGTTTTCCCTTATTTCTTCCACTGCTTTCTCCTTCCCCACCAGATAGAAACCTTGAGGAAGAGGATGATAATGAGTCTAATATCACTGTGAATCAGGTGGGCTCAATTCATCCGCTAGTTATTTAAATATTTAATGATCATTGATCATATATTTGTGTAAATTTCTTAAGGAAAAGGAGGCAAAGACTATGAAGCCCTATCAAAATATCTTTGTTTTTGGTGTTTTTGTGACCTGGAACATATACATTCTGATGACTCTAGGGTCAATAACAATGTAAGTGAAATTAGAACTTAAAAACTGAATCTTCCACGTGTCCTAGAGGTGCTATTTACACAAAAAAATTGATAAAGTCAGGCTCTTAAGCTTGCCCATGTCCCATTACAACTTGTCTGATTCAACCGAGGGAAAACTGAGGACTGAGATCTCTAAATAAGGAGGAGGGTGCTGCAGGCAAGGATGTGGTCCCTTCTGAGAAGCTGATATGCTGGGCTGGAGAGCACACTCAGTGCTTTTTTGTATGCCTGCACAGGTTGCAATGAAGTGTCTAGGGTTGTACTACAGTGCTTAGAGAAAGCTTTCTTTTAAAAGACTAATCAGCAAGCATATTCAGAGATTTTCTTGATCTGTTTGGGTTCCAGTTTCCTTATTTGTTACTTGAAAGTTAGAAACAGCCCTTCAGGGCATGGCTCAGCGGTTGAGCATCAATATAAAATCCAGGAGATCGAGGTTCGATTCCCGGTCAGGGCACATGCCCGGGTTGCAGCTCGATCCCCAGCAGGGGGCGTGCAGGAGGCAGCTGATCAATGACTCTCATCATTGATGTTTCTCTCTCTCTCTCTCTCTCTCTTTCCCTTCCTCTCTCTGAAATCAAT